TTTTTTCTGTGCATACAGTTCTAATAATATGGTGTTAAGTTGTTAATAAATAAAGACTCACCAAGTCTAATAAAATAATTCATGACCAAATTTGAGTTTCAGTTTTTGAATTAACCTCGCTTTTGGTAGTAGAATTATTTTATAGCACTTGAATCTATAGTCACTTCTCTCAGTAAATAAAGTGTTTGAATATACAAATAGCTAATTGAAATCTTTTGAAAATTTGTTTTTATTCCCATTAAAAACTGTTTTATAATCAGTTAGTTTACTGATAGGTTCTTTAAGAAGTAAACTATCTTTGTACATACAATTGATATCAGATTCATACTCATGCTAAAACAGAAAAACAATTGCTCCACTCAAAATTTTGAGAACGTTTATAAATTCTTAATTTATTGAACTAAATTTTTACACCAACTTGATATGAGATTTATATTCCATTCTTTAACCAGCGAGGAGGTATGTAAAGCAGAGGTACTGCAAAGGTAGAACTAACTTCTGGTGATAAACATCGAATGGATATGTAATATATCTATAAAAAAATGTTACATATAATGAAGAACAAAACATCTTTTAAATTAAATACACAAACATAACAGATCATACCCAACCAACATACTAGTTGCTCTGATCACAAGTTAATATATAAAAGCTAGATTTTTACATACATTTGATGCAAGACTAGTATTTCATTCTTTAACCTGAGCGAAGGTATTGCATAGGTATAAATAACTCCTGAAGCTAGGAACAGAATGGGCACCTACCTAATATATAAAATCAATATATTAAAAAATAATATTTTAAACTAACATCACACAGATATTAGAACAAAATAAAATTATCTTATATACAAATTAAAGATCTCATATAATTTATCTTACTTTTTAATTTTTTTTTGTTGTTGTTGTTTTTAATTTTTTAAATATTTTAACTAAATTTGATGACCACAAACAAGACAAAGACCTTGTCTATAAAATGAATTTTCGCCACGCTCAGAACACACAACACACTTTCTCACCTTAGAGGCTTGAAGCTTCCTATCAGCTTTGCTGTGCAATTCAAAGCGTTTTAAAACAAGATGCAGCTTTTGCTCCTGATTTCTTACTGAATGCAACTGTCTTAATTCCTTATTTACGCTATTATGCAAACACTCTCCCTCCTCTTCACTCAGCAACCCAATAGTTTTATGCAATTTTACAAATAGTGGCACATTAAAAATGAGTTCATGCATTTTTCGCGTGATACTTTCTTTTGGAAAGCAATCATGAAATTTGATAGCAAATAAATTTATATATTGATGAAGCTTAGTAATTTCGGCATCTGAAAGAAATTTTTGCTTAAATAGAATAGGTTGCAACTTATTAAAAACACTAAACACACGTACAAATCTATTTTTAATAGCTTCATCATCAATAACACTACAAAGTTTATAGTGGTTTCTTAAGACTATTTTGCAATGATTACCTACGAACACATTACCGTGGTACGCTTGTCGCTCAACCTTCATATCTTCAAGGGCCTTATTAAGAGACCTCTCATGAGTCCCCATGCTACTTTTGGATATTTTTTCTAGGTCTTCACACTCCACCTGCAATTTAATATATTCAGTGTCTAAAACTTCGCGTTGTGCACGTATAAAAGAAATTTTTTCAGAAATATAAAGGTCAAGACATTCTATATCTTCACCCTGACATGCTAAACACTCATACTTCTCAATGTCACACAATACACTCTTTTCCGAATCACCAATAATTTCACAAAATTGATGAAACAATTTTTGGCACGTACCACACTGCACCCAATCAATGTTACAATCGTATTTTGTAATTAAACACCTAATACTATCACACATTTCTTGCTGTTTAAAGGTTATTTTTTTATTGGAGGAGTTTAGAGTTAATTCAGAAATATTTTTATTAAAAGCTAACCAACGCGCCTGTAGATTTGCAACGTCTACAAATTGATTTCCTAATAAACGTAAAGCTTCTGCTGTTTTAGAACATTCAACGCTTTTAGCAGCCCACAATTCATTCGTTCTCACATTCTCATTATGCGACAAAGACGAAACAGCTTGACAATCCAAAGTCTTACACTCCTTCAACAATAACTTATACAGTTTTAACACAACTCCTAACATAATATGCAAAACAGGTGGCACTACATTATCTAAAGTTATTATGGGGAAAATCACAGGAGCAATAATTGAATTATGAAACTTACCTAAAGTTCTTAGGTTTCCACCTTGTCTATTTTCACACAAGTTCTCATTGTAAGCACTTTCCAGAGATTGTATTGTCCTCCTTAAGATGTTACAATTAGCAGGTGTGTGAGGCATAGAAGCATGGTTTCTTAGAGAATTCAACTTAACTAGGTCTGTAGAACTAGGAAAGCTAGCAGCTGAACCCTGGTGTCCCAGAACATCATCGATAAAATGAAAATCTCCACCTAAGAGCAACCTGACTGTTTTGCCTTTTAGCTTAAAATCTGACGACTGAATTCTTTTAATGTCGTTGGCAAAATGCCCGAGAACTAAGGCTATATTCTCACGACAGTCTGAACCCTGATACATACAAAACAAGTGAACATCGTATACAGACCCTGATGATTTAGAATTGACAACTTCAAAATGGAATTTCATATATTTCCCACCCTTATTACCAGCAAAAAGGAGCCATACTTCTTCGCCAAAACCGACATCCGAATTAAGGTGGTCGCGTACATAAAGATTAGTAAAAACCTCTTCAATATAAGTTGTCAAATTCTTGACCATCAGTACAGATACTAAACAAGGTGCTTCATTCGCAGATGGATAAAGTAACATGGACTTCACAGTGACATGTTCTTTATTGACATGCATTGTCCGCATTTCTTGTTCTTGTCTCATCTTGGGCTCAGATGGGAGAATCCTTGCACCAAGATTACACAGAATACGTCTTAGTCTACGGAATTCAGCCGTGGGCATCCTTAATTGGCTCTGTAGCTCTACAGCATCAGAAACACTTAACTGCTTAACTAAACCCAACTTATTTGCAACACAACAAAATACTGACTTTTCACAAGACATAGAATCACAAAACAACATAGACAAATCACTTTCTAAATCTGAACAAGCTAATAATCGAAGGAATATAAAAGCAAGTTTAGATCGTTTAGCTGCAGCATGCTTACCTAACTTAGAATAAGGTTTACCATTTCCTAACTTAATGTAAGTATATTTTTTACTAACTATTGGCTTTTTAACTGATATATTGTGTGGATTACTTAATTTAAACCCACAAAATAATTCAGAGGAACCAATGTTGTCGTAGTCTAAATAAGAATCAACCACAACTAAATCCTTATTGCAACTAGCAAAACATTTGCAAATTTGGCAACTGTTCTGGCTTAAATCACTAATTTTTGCAATTCTTTTTTCAATAATAATTTTTTTTAGCAATCTTACATTTTTGGCACGAGCAGATGCAAATTTACGCTGTGCTGTTTTAATTTTTTTTTTAAAAAAGTTGGAACTGCTCCTCCTGTTTTAGCCTAATACTCATAGTCTCTAATTGAGAACTTAATGAGTTACAAAATAGGCCTCTCAACTTAATGTGTTGAGAGGCCTATTTTTAGAATTTAAATCTGTAATTTCAGCTTCCAACTTAAATACTTGCATTTTAAATTTTTCTATTTGCTCCATATTTGTTTTATTTTCAGAAGTTAATTGATCAATTTGATTCAGTAGCTCCTGACTGTTATTTAAAGTGAAAAAGTCATCTGCATCTGCTGATTTTTTTTTTTTGGGTGGAGCTTGCGACAGTTGCATTTTAAAAAATTCTTCGTTTTTTATAGCTTTAAAACTTTTTTTATATTTCTTTTTTTGTCGTGTTAACTTTAGGCACATTTTATCAAACTCGTCATTACTAGGCATATCAAAATCAATTGGCAAAAGAAAACTTATAAAACTAAATAAATCACTTCTTATTTTAAAGACTGTCATTAAAATGGAAATGACATTGTTACTGATCTTATCTGTCCTAATTAATCGCTTAACAAAAGGAAAGTTACACCTATCTTCCCAACCATTTTTCCATCCAATATGTTGTTTTAGAATTTCCCTCTCAGTTGAATACATAGTTATCAAAATAATATTGACTTATTAATCAATATAATAAAAACAAATAAAATAATATTAATTAACAAATATATGCACAAGATAAAAGTGGATTTAACAACTTATCTGATATTAGTTTGATAATCCAAAGAGAAAAATTCCGCGTAACTTTGTTTACTTTATACTTCAAAAAGTGACTCGCCGAAACAGTTGTTTGGAGAAAATTCGTTTATATATAGTTTGGGACGTAACGCATAAAGGTTACGTCATCGCAAAAAAAACGTCAACACAAATGTACGCCTAAAACTAACAAGATTAGTTGTAAAACATGACATTTTTGAAAACATATTTCATAGCATAGCTGAAAGCAAGTAAAATAATTTTTTTATTTTCATTTGCATAAAAGGTTGAAATTTCATTAACTTACGTCATCCATCAAAAAATTTATGTTTTGCATTTAAAAACGATTAATTAAAAAATATAAATGCTTTAAAAACAGTCTTTTTGTAAAAAAATCTCTAGGATGACGCAGGAATCTGATAGAATGGGCATTTAGGGTTAAGCATTCCAAATTTCAACTATCAAGCACTGAGCTATGTTATGAAATCTTAGTTGGCCCAACTCATGTTTTGCGGAAAATATGCGAAAATTAGAAAAGTGGTTCTAAATTATTAAAAGTATTTTGGCAATATTTATTTTTATACCAATTAATGTAAATATTTATTTAACAAGGAAAGATAGATCTTTTATATTTTTTTAAATGCAAGATGAAAGCATTTATATAAAAAAGTTACTATTAATTTAAAGTTTGTGAATTTTTATACTTTTTATGCGGAAATACTTTTTTTTTTGATAAACTCATGACGTCACGCTCGTTTTTATATTGAGTGAAACAGCCGTGAACAAGAGTTGAAAATGAAAACAATATTTTGGTAAAATTTGCTTCGCAAAGATTCTTTAATTATTTTTGTGAATTTGTGAAAATTATATACTTATTAAAATCTTTATTTAAATTATTAGCATAAAGATAAATTGGATGAGGCAATTACTGCAAAGGATCCTGCTTTGTGGGCTGAAAATATGTCCAAAGTAGAACGCGATGCAGTTGTTCTTCAGGGGCCCCCTAAAAATCCTTTATCTTTTCCGAGAGACTCAAACAAGATTAAGGTTCCTGAATCAGTTTTCCACGAAATAACTCGTAATGGGGAGAAAATAAACAGAGATTGGCTTGTTTGGAGTTCAACTTCAAAATCATTTCTTTGCTTTCCGTGCTCACTTTTCGGAAGCAAACAAGCCTGCGGGGCTGGTAATAATTCACATCTTCTACGTTGGAATGGTGGCATCAATGGAAACTGGAGAAAGCTAGCTGAAAAAGTAAAAGCCCACCAAAACAATCCTCACCATCGAGACAATTACATTAAGTGGAAAACAGCGCTGGAAAGCTTGGGAAATCAATGTGGGATTGATTCAAGTTTAGAAAAATTGATAAGAAATGAGGCAGCCAGGTGGCGTGAAATTTTAAAGTGCATTTTAGATGTAATTCTCTTCTTAGCATCACGCAACCTTAGCTTCAGAGGTATATTTGTGAACATTAATTATTATATTTATGTTTACGTTATAATTTATTTTTACTATAATTAAACAGAAAGTCATGATTTATATGTGATTTAATTAAAATCAATATTTTAGGCTCATCAAAAATGATCGGTGATGACGATAACGGAAACTTTTTTGCAACTCTAGAGCTACTTGCAAAGCACAACAAGACTCTTCAGTTACATCTAGAAGAGGTTTCTCGCTGCCAACAAGAAGGTAAACAAATTATTGCGCATTATTTGGGTTGGAGTTCTCAAAATGAATTTATAAAAGAGTGCGGAAGAATCTTCTACGGTGCCATCATTAAAGAGGCGCATATGGCAATTTACTATTCTATTCTTGTCGACGGAACGCCTGACGTCTCTCATACAGAGCAAATTGCATTTGTTTTCCGCTTTGTCTACTATGGTATTGATAAAAAATAGGTAGTTAAGGAGCGCTTTCTTGGGGTCGAAAGTCTCGATAAAAAGAAAGGTGTGGATATTGCTAAGCTAATTATAGATCTGAAGAACTGTCGAGGTCAGGGATATGACAACGGTGCTAATATGTCTGGTGTGTACAAAGGAGTACAAGCGATCATTCTTCAGAGAAATCCTCAAGCTTTCTACATGCCATGCAGCACTCATAACCTTAATTTAGCTGGTGTTCATTCCCTTGAATCTTCTGTAGAAATGAAGAACTATTTCGGTCGTATTCAGTTACTCTACAATCTTTTTAGTGGAAGCCCTATACGATGGAAAATCTTGACCGAGACGACTGGTTTGTCTCTACATCAAACTTCACAAACCCGATGGAGTGCACGCATTGAGGCTGTGAAGCCTTTGGTTAAGCGACCCAGAGAAATTCTTTTATCTTTGCAGAAACTTCGTGATCTTGATTTAACTGCTGATCTATTGATTGACGTAAAATCTTTAGAGAAATGGATTCAGTCATTTGAGTTTATTATCATGACAACCTTCTGGTTCAAAGCGCTGCAAGCAATAAACTATGTCAGCGTGTCATTTCAATCAGAAAACATTACTTTAGATGATGAGATGAAACTTATGAAGATTCTTATTGAGGATCTTACTAGACTTAGATCTTCTTGGCCCGAATTAATTAATGAAGCACATTTAGTTGCCTCCGGTCTAGCTAGTTATGGGTTTCAGTCAAAACTAGTTCAAAAAAGGACAAGAAAGAGGAAAACTTTTTACGAAGAAACAAGGAACGAAGTTCATTTCTTAGAAAACGATGAAAAACAGTTTGAGGTGAATGTATTCAACACCGCTCTCGATACATTAATTCAACAAATAAAAGACAGATTTCAAGCTGCAGAAAAGACAACTAACAGTTTTTCTTTTCTATGGCTCTCAGAATTTAATAGTAGGTCGAGTGAAGGAAAAGAAATTGAACAACCTAGCCTGGAGGAAAAATGTAAAACTTTGGCGCAAATGTATGTGAACGATGTAGATGAAGACAAACTTATTTTAGAGGTCCGTCATCTGGATACTCTAAAGCGTGCCAATCTTTTCGGTCCAAAAGAATATCTCACTTCAATGAAACTATTAAATGGAATTTATCAAAAAGGTCTAGAGTCTATCTTCGAATCAACATGCATTTTATTACGTATTTTTAACACAATTCCCGTTTCCATCGCCGAAGGAGAGCGGTCTTTCAGCAAGCTTGGTCTAGTCAAGACAACACTAAGATCTACAATGAGTCAAGACCGGCTTACCAATCTCTTAGTTATATCTATTGAGCACGATCTAGCAAAAAGTCTGTGCTACGACGAGGTCATTGAAAATTTTGCTTTAAATAAAGCACGGAGAGTCAAATTCTTATAAAGCATTTAAAATATCTATTACATTTAAAATTTACAGTTGCTCGCAATATAATAAAGTTAATTTGTCAACTTGTGCTTCTTTCTTTACCTTTTTTCAAACTTATTTAAAAAATATATAGAAGCCTTCTCGACTGTAATTACCTTCTCGGCATCTTAAAGTGAGTTTTAAAAAGTAAAACTTAAAAAAAAACTTAGCATTTGGACAGTATCTAAATTTTTTTTGATTAGGTCAATATGACAGGGCGCTGGATAAATTTTGACCCCAGGCGTCATAAAGGGACGCGGCGGGCCTGTATAGAATTATTTTAAATAATTCTAATATAAAAAATAAAATTATTTATATTAGAATTATTATTTAACTATTATTTAAAAATAAATTTTAAATAATAGTTAGTTTGAATAAACGAGACTATTTATTAGAGATATATTCGTTACTTAACAAATCGCGACGTTAGAATTATTTTGTTCTATCTCCACTTTCTGAAAAATTGAGTTGATGATAATGTTGTGTTCATCAAAATAATGTCTTTCTACTGAATTGAAATCTAAGTTATAAGTAAAAAAGTTACGGAAAAAATATAAGTTATAAAAAAATATTTATACGCCGTCTCCTAAAGTTTTCGTTTTTTAAATCGTTTTATCTCAAAACTAAAAAATATGGAGATAGAGCAAGATAATTCTAAGAATAATAAAATTTTATAATTATAGTAATTTAAAATTGATGTTCGGAACAATGAATTCTGAACTGGAAAACTTTAGGTTATGGTTAAGAGCAAATAAACTGTCATTAAACATTTTATAAATAAAGATTTTTGTGCTGATTTTTTTTATTATAAGAAGTCTTAACAAAGAGCACCGCGGATGAGCATTTAATTGGAAGTTCACGCCCTAACTTTAAGTTATACTTTAAGTAGTACTTTAAGTTTATACTTTAAGTATAAGAAACGGGCTGAATGAAAAAATGAAAAAAGAAACGGGCTGAATGAAAAAATGAAAACAGAAACGGGGTGAATGAAAAAATGAAAACAGAAACGGGCTGAATGAAAAAATGAAAAAAGAAACGGGCTGAATGAAAAAATTAAAAAAGAAACGGGCTGAATGAAAAAATGAAAAAAGAAAGAGAGTTTGATATTTTTGTGTTAATTTCTTAAGACAAATCGATTTTCCGGGATGGGAAACCAAAAGCAAGCAACCCAAAAAAAAAAATCTTTTAAGTGTTTTTAACTTCAGGTTATTTAACTTTTATTTTTTTTTATTTTACTTTTTATTTACCTTTACCTTTTTTTATTTTACTCTTTAGTCACCTTTTATTAACCATTTATTTTATTTTTATTAACTTTTTTTTTTTTTTTTTTTATTACCTTTTATTAATACTTAATTTATTATACTTAAACAAAGTGGAGAGAAATTTCATTACTAAACTCTTTATCCTTTTTGAAAACGAAACGAACACTTATGATGTTTTGAACATAATGAAACTTTCTGATCATTTAAAAAAAGTTTAGAATACTTTCAGAATGTGTACAACTTTTTATTTAAATAAAAAAAAAGTTTAGAATACTTTCAGAATGTGTACAACTTCTTATTCAAATAAGAAAAAAGTTTAGAATACTTTCAGAATGTGTACAACTTCTTATTTAAATAAAAAAAAAGTTTAGAATACTTTCAGAATGTGTACAACTTCTTCAACTAGATGAGTTTAGAACATTAGTATCAGAAGAATAATAATTTCAAAATATTTTAAATATTTTTAAAAATATTTTAAGATGAACGCTTTTAAAGTAATTTGCATTGCGGATTCATGGTGCAAAAATGATGAAACAGTTTAACAATTTGAAGTAAATAACTACTTTTCAATTCATCAACAACGAAAATTTAAAACAATTAGAGGCTTGAGTATTTATGTTCACTATTCTTTGTTTTACTTCCTCGCTTGCCTTAATGCAAATGGTGGGGTGGGGGTAGGGTCGGGGAACAAAAAAGGAAGGGGAAATGGTAATTTTAGTAAAAATCTAATTAAAATATTACCGTTTTTTTGTTTTGAGATATTAATTTTTTGTCGTTAACAAATAAAAATTATAAACAAGGCTGGAGTCTTCATAAGGTTAGAATAAATGGTAGCGTTTTTCGAAAATTAATAAGCGTTTCCACCCCCTCCCCCCATACCTTGCATTAAGGACTCGAGAGTAATGATATTTGCCTGAATGAAATATATTGTGAGTCGTTATGCAGTGAATGTTGTTATACAAAACAAAAAAAAAAGCATAATTATTAAGAATATATATATAAAAAAAAATTATATATATATAAAAAGAATACATATATAAAAAGTTTAAAGATCATTTTAAAAAATTCTAACCAAAGAGAATTTAACGTGGAAGCATGTTTACATTTTTTCGACCTTAACACTAATATAATAAATCATTCATCAAGCAAAAATGTTATGGTGGTTGCCCAAGAAATAAATCTTGATTTTTTTTGAAATTTTTTTTTTTTTTTAAATGTTTTTTATGAGCAGAATTTTATCCTCTTTAAAATGGTATATGAATCTCATATGTATAATTTATATAAAGTCTTTTATTTCTAATTTTTATATAGTGGTATATAAAGTTTTTCTTCACATTTTTGTTTTTGACATTTTTCTTCATTTGTGACTTCAATTGAAGTGTCAAATATCTTATGTTTACCTCTTCAAATAATCATCAACTCCGTATCAAAGTAATGTCGTTTGGTGTATCTTAGGTTTTATGGATTTTAATAAACTAAAAGTCATTATTTGAATGGATATTTTTCGTTTTGACCAACGTGATGCAACATAAAATATACTATTTATTAGATTTTTATGAATGTTTATTGTAGTTTAATGACTTATTTGTATTTTTATTGGTTCTTACTCTTTTAGACTTAAATATATAATAATGGCAAAAGGAAATAAGCAAAATATTTTTTAATGTAAAATGTAAAACAATGTAAAATGTAAATGTAAAATGTAAAACAATGGAAACATAATGCAACATTTTTAAATGTAAAATGTAAAACAATAAATTAAATAGGTAATAATAACAATAAATTAAATAAATAAAATAAATTTATAAATTCAAAGAAAAGAAGGTAGGTCACGCAAAACTCAAAACACTAATGAATCGTTCAACTCAGTTGTATGGACTCGATGTCCCAAGAATGTTTTTATTGAACGAAGAACATTTGAATGTTCAATTTACTCAGCTATTTTACATTATAATGATGGGAGTGGCGGGGTTAATACAGTTTTAGGACATTTTGGCTTACATGGAAAGGCGACTGCTGATAAATCTATTGCACGAGATTGCAAACGTGTTACTAGAATGGAAAAGCGATCAAGTCCAATCGTTAAAAAACAAAGAAAAAAATTAACAGCATTCTAAAAAGGGTACATGGATAAAGAGAATGAAAGTGAAAAGTGTGAATCTTACACTGCTGGTGGTTTTTAACATCTTTTTCTTATTATTTTAAACAAAAACTTGATTTTCTCATGTTTATGGTTTTACATAATTTTTAAAATTTTAAAACATGATATCTCAAGATTGAATGGATAAAATAAGTTGAAATTTTCCGGAAATACTCATATATTATATATAATCCATACATCATAGGCTTTTTCTTCATTGAGGTAAAAAACTTCTTAATTTGTAAAATTTATACAAAAAATACTATGCTTTAAACACTCTTTTTACTAAAAGAGGCATAACTTTTGACTAAGTGAGTCAATAAAAAAATTGATATGTCAAATGGATTTTACTATCGTTCTTAAGCTATGATGAAAATTTGAAGTAGTAACTATCTTCACATCTGCAGATATTGTGTTTTGAAATATTTCATTTTTTTGTCTCATTTTAGCGATAAAATAGGGTAATCGAGACAAAAAAATGGTTTTGTGTGTTTGAAATATTTTTTAAGTTGAGACCAGCCATTTATACCAAAATTTGGTTAATTAAATTCACAGGGTCAAAAAAAAGTTTATTTCTTGGGCAACCCCCTTAAACATTATTCTAATTTTTTACCTTTTTTCAACAATAAACATAGCAACAAGAATAACCAAAAACTCTTCCACTTTTCTTGATAACATTTTTTTTTTTACTATTTAGGTTCCCCAAAAAGACCAAACAGTCTTGTCACAGAACACCGCGGAATTGCATTTAACCAGAAAGTTCACGCCTCCTTTCTTACCGTTACGCGAAAATATGTCCAAGGCTCTTTTTGAACCTGGATCTCCTGCTTATAAAACAAGCGCTCTAATCACTGCGCCACGGCCGTACATAACTTAATAACGAATAACTTTGTGATGACCAGCTTCATAGTGGTATAATCAAGAGTGACCTTTCTGATCATTTATCTTCTTTCTCAGTTTCCAATTCCATAATTCTTACAAAATTTATAAAACATTTTTAAAAAATTGAGGGTTTTTCATTATTTTTGGTATCTTATTTAAGAGTCGCAAGAGGTTAGTTATGTACACGATTTATTTCTTAAACGGTTCTGAAAGTTATACAAAACAGCGTTTTGGTAAAAAAAGTTTGTCATTAAAACCAAGTCTCTTCAAACTCTACGATTATCTAACAAAGAACAACATGCTGTATAAAAAACAATTTGGTTTTAAAAAATGCATTTAACTAAACACGCCGTAGACGAGCAAGTCAACAAGATGTCTGAAGCTCTAAACAACAATTATTATACATTAGGAGTTTTCATTGATCTAAAGCCTTTGATAAAGTAAACCATGAATACTGCTAACTTAATTTGAAAACTATGGCAGTAGAAACAAAAATTTACTTTGGTTCAAAAACTACTTAACAAACAGAAAACAATTCATATGCTAAGTAACAGGTAAATACTGTGAAATTCCACAAGATCCTGTTATATAAAAACATGCGATATATTATTTTCTAGTTGGATTTACGTCTTTACAAGAAAATATTTGTAAAAAATGATTTTATAAAAATGGTACTATGTAATAAAATATTA